TATATGAATTTAAATTTTTTGATATATTAATAAAACTTAATTTACAATTATAACCGTAAAACAATTATGAACGTATTTCTTTCTGTGGCCCTTTAATGTGTACAGTGATTTGTATTGGCACGCAAACGATCTGGTCTGGACAGCCCTGATCTAAGAAAGTACAGAAAAAAAAATTACTAAAGCAATAGGCGATCTATAGTGAACTTTCATTGAAAGTTTTAATGAATATTCAAGTCACGTGTCTAAAGTTGTTTGTAAAAAAGCGATAAGGCGGTCTGTTGTAAACTTTTACTGAAATATTTATATGTTTTACATTCTCAAAACTAAGATATTGGAAAGGTTTTTCTTTAATTTTTGCCAAAATTAAAATTAAAATAAAATAATTTCTTATAAAGAGATTTTTAGAACAGTAGTGAACTACAACAACAAAAAATTATTTTATATTATTTTAATTAATTGAATTTTTGGCTGACCATATAGTTATTTCGAGTATTGCCAAACACCCATCATCAATGATTTTGATCTTGATTCTTGTATGTAATTATTTATGTATTGTATGTAAACTGCAGTTACCAAGGGTTGAACTCATGCCCTGCCAAATTTGAAGCTCAGAGTCAGCGCAACTTAACCAGACCCAACGCCATACTTGCCTTTTATGTTCGCACATTTTTCTGGAGTTTTGTTGCTTTGCTGTGAATGTTTTATTAACAAATTCACTTGCTGTGTTTATATTAGAACGAAATCATAATCCAGTTATAGAATAATTTAATAAATTAATTATTTTTTTATTTTTAATAGTTAAATTTCAATACTATTCTGTTTGTAGACTCTATTTGTTGCATGATTTATATATTCTTTCTTATGTATAGAACCTAATCTAGGAACGTAAGGCTGAGAAACTCATGCTAATATTACTACACGATACGCACGAGCGAGACCAATATTTTGGTAATTTATTATGTAAAAAATTCCATTTATATAAATAATATATACAAAACAAGTACATAATTTTAAAATAATTTGCAGTAAAAAAAGTAAAAGTGTAAAAAAAGTGTGTATATATATTTTAACTAGTATTTTCGAATGTCTTTTTAAAATTAAAGTCACACCTCAAACAATTATTTGTCGATATTCTCACTCACTTTCAAATAAAAAATCAATTTTAAATAAATATTTAATGATTTTCGCACTCACATACAAAGTTTGTTCAAACAAACTTTTTTAAGTTTTTGATACAGTTTTGCTTGTATTGAACTTGACATAATGCCGATACCACTGACAACAATGACAGTAATGAAGAATAAGAGAAGAATGTCAGCAATTAGAGCAATAACCACAATAACAAAACCAACAACAATAACGACAAAGCAAAACAACAAAAAAAAGACTCACAAAAAAAATTTATATATATAAAACAATAGCTTAAAAGCTTTAGCTTCACGTGTTTGTCGTCTGTCCATTGCGGTTGACTTAGGCATGCTTAAAAAGCACGCGACATATGCTTAAGTGTGTTATTTTGTTGTTGTATTTGTTGCTGTGGTTGTTGTTTCAAGTCTTTGCATAAAAAGTGTTACCTTTTCCACCATTTTATTCAACTCTTTAATTTTTATTTTGCTATTTTGCTTTCATTTACATATACGAGTATATTTGTTGTTGTGTTTTTAATACGTAACAATTTTTAAATGAGGCCTTAGTATTTTGTTTTTGTTTTTATTTTGTTTACTGCACATTTTGGACTTTAACTTGGCTACATGGCGGTGTGTAGAAAGGAGGTTAGGTATACTTATGGCAACCATTTTATTGTTAAGAAAAAAAGAAGAAAAAAAAAAACTAGAAAACGGTTGACTGTAGGAAAACTGTAGGAAGCTGAAAAAGTGTATTAAATGAAATATCACGCTATGCACAATTTAAATGAGTTTAACAATAAAATTTTCACATATTTCATAAGTTTTTGTGTGCGGTTTCAATTGTTGCTCATGATTTTTAAGTGCTTGAATGCTGATTTTTGAATGCTGATTATGTGCTGTAGTTAAAGCTTTTCTACACGCCCACATAACACGCGAATGGGCGGTTATGATGAAGTCCTAAATGTGAACAAATAAAATAATAACAAATTTTATATGGCAATGCCGTTGAATTGCGTTTTTGCAATTCAAAAACTCTGAAATTCTACGAAGAAATGCTTCATATTGCATGACCTTTCTATAGCCATTCATTTATTGTTAGGAAATTTGTTTTTAAATATCAAAGTCTTATATTTACAATGATTACATTTTTTTGTGTAATCATTTGTTATACGTTAGGCTTTATCCATTTATGTAATGAATTAATATTTTCATGTTCAACAGAAAGAATTATGTTGAAAAAAGAATATATTTATTATTCAATTCAATGCAGTCGAAACCGACTCAATCCTGTCGCTATAACTAATAGTTGTTATAAACAGTAATATAAAATAAACTATTCAAAATTATAGAAATGTTCGTTGAAGACGAAAGACCTATTAAATTAACTAAATTCGGCAGAATGGATTTAGTCTCTACTCTTCTATAATAGGGTTCTTGCAAGGAATATGGTAGTAAAACGGCGAAAAATCTTTAATTGAGGTAAAATAGCTAATAAAAGATTCAAAATTATAGGAATGTTCGGTGAAGACGAAAGACCTATTAAATTACCTAAATTTGGCGGCATGGATTTAGTCTCTACTCTTCTCTACTAGGGTTCTTGCGAGGAATGTGGTAGCGAAACGGCGAACGGCGAAAAATCGCTAATTGAGGTACGTGGAAGTTATCTATTAACTGATCATAGCTAAGCAATATTAGGCAGATGAACCCTAATGTTAGATCTCAAGATTAACTTGGTCCAAACTGAGCAAAAAAAAGTACTACTCAGCTGCTTCTAGTGAAGCGTAATCTGCTCAGCACTATGTTATTGGTGCTGAAGGGTCAAGAAGGAGGGAGTCTGTACTCCACCTAATGTGTTAGTGTTCATCATTGGCTAGTAGAAGATTTAAAATATTCGGTGCTTCATTTCGTATCGACCTGAGCTGTCATTTTGCAAAATTATAGACTGAGCCAAGTTTATAAAATTGTTAGGTTGGTTCACTTTTACTTGAATGGGGCAGTCGTTCCTTTTCGGCAGTCGTACGCTGACCTTTAGTCTGGATATAAACAATGGTAATCTGTGGTATTAAGTTAATAACGGATATTTGTGCTCAAGTGGGTTTTGTGCACAATACCGCCACTTTAACATTATCTTACTTAACTATTAAATATAAAAACTATATACATATATATATACCTATATATTATATCTAAAAAATTCCGAGTAAGACTATTAATATTTTTTGTTTTTAAAAATGAATACAGTGATTATAATTTGTTAGATATCAAAATTTCTATAAGATGTAAGATGTATACATGTATAATATATAATATATATGATAATACTAATTTATTAATTGGTTTTCGACATTAAAAAAATTTAAGTGAAATAATAAAGCAAGCACTACTACTACTATGAATATTATTGAATAGATAAATGTAATACATTTGTATATAAATCGGTACATCTTTAAGCTTCATTGTTTATATACAATTTTCCTAAGTCTAAGTAGTACTACTACTACTACTATGACTATTACTAAATATAAAAATGATACACATATATATATATGTTATATACCTGCACATCTATAAGATTCATTTGTATACAATGAAGCTTATAGACTTTTTTATTTTTCTCCAGAGTTTAATATTTGAGAAAAACTTTTATTAAATACAATTTGGATTAATAAACTTCACCTCAGGTTTTTAGTTGTAGTCACTTCAGAGTTTGATGTGCTTGAACTAAAAAATAATACATAAGAAAAAATGTACTTGGACTAAATTGACAAAACATTGTGCTAACCGCTTTTAACGCCTCACTTTTGTAAGAAGGTCTTTCAACTATAAATACGTACTCTTTTCGGAAGCACATCATGGCGACACGCTTTCATAGAAGGACTGAAAAACGTAAAATAAAAAAATAAAAATGAAAGAGTGTAGCGGAAAACAGCGTACCCTCAAACCCTCCTTAAAAGTTTATAAACATCTTAACGCAAGTTTTACAAAACTTTGCATAAAATTTCACACCGACTGCAATCGGCTGCAGTGCAGTAGCAGCGGCTGTAACGGCGAAAAAACACTGCAAACAAAGTATGTGGCACACCCAAAAATGTCCGACCAACCCATTTAATAACTTTCTTGCATCTGTGCGCTGGCATCTCTGCACATTTTAGACATGCGGGGGCCGGAGATCGGAAAAGTTGCAACTAAACTTAATGAAAGCCTGCCTTAACAATAACAATTCTGTAAAAATGCTGTTGCGTGCTTATGTTGTTGGTTTCCTTTTTTTTGGTGCTGTTGTTCTTGCTGTGGTTGTTGTTGCACTTGAGGTACATGCAAATGTCACAATCACCACCGCGACTTGAATGAAAAGTAGTGACAAATAACTCAGCAGCAGCTGCTGCCTGGCCTGGCATTGCCACTGCTGTTACCGTAGGATTTTAGTCCTTTCGAAATGCTGTCATGGGCTTGTTACTTACTGCACTGTGTTGGTTGTGCTACATAATTGCACTAAAATAGTTGAAACAACACACAGAGCGTGTGTTTGAAGCGTAAGTGGACTTTATAAATAGTGTAACAGAATAATTATTGAGTATGGTAAGGCGTGCACCCCATGTCCTGTGATTTTGTGTAAGTAGTTTATCAAAAGTTCTTATTCATGTGTTTTTGCTGCACTCGCAAAACTTTTTTGGTGTCCTTATTTTTTCAATTTATTTTGTTTTGTTTTGCATTTTGTGATTGAGTGGCATTTATGATAAGAATTGCAGAAAATTTATTACCCTTGTTAAAACTATTTTCCAAAATAGACCTATTCTTAAACTGGCATTTAAATAATTTATATTTGTGTATGTGAAATAGAATTTAATTATATTAATTTACTTTTTTTAATTTAAGGAAAATGGAAGATCAGTTCCTGATGTTACTGCAAGCCCAGGTCGTGCACCGCCGGGTCCATTGCCAGCGAACCAGATGCAAGCGCTGGCGAACCAACAACACCAGCAGGTGCAACATCATCAACAACAGCGACAAGGTGTTAAGGAACCAGTGTTGTTGCAGGGAGATTTTCGTAAGGTGTCCGGTATTAGTTCGGAAATATTCAGACAGATAGAAGCTGTCGAAAATGATCATGATCCGAATACAGCTGCCGCTTTGGAAGCGGTGGAACGACGCGGTGAAATGATAGTACGCATACTAGAACCACGTTGCATAGGTGGTAAGCAAGCAGTAGAAGCAGCACATAAGTTAATGGCCAAAGGCGATGCTAGACATACAGTACAGGTTTGTTTTAAAAAAGAAATGAATAGTTTAAAACTTTTCAGCATATATAAAACCCTTAATTTTTAGCTCGTTGAAATAGTTAAACGCCCTGGTCAAACATTAGGTTTATATATACGTGAGGGTAATGGTGCCGATCGTACTGATGGTGTTTTTATTTCTCGCATCGCATTAGAGTCTGCGGTATACAATAGTGGTTGCCTGAGAGTAAGTAAATTGATTTCAGAAAAAAAAAATGGATATACAAAAATCTCTTTTTTTATTACAGGTGGGCGATGAAATTTTAGCAGTAAATTTGGTTGATGTGACCCACATGTCCTTGGATGATGTTGTTATTATTATGTCAATTCCCCGGCGCCTTGTATTGGCCATACGACAACGACGTGGTAATCGTGGTACTGGTTCTCCAGGTCCATCAACACTTTCACGACCAGAACAAAAGCCACCACCGGTTGTCGTTATAAAACGTGATCTCAGAGATGAAGACTTAGATGAACAAGACCGCATGCCAAGATCCAGATCATCACGCGAAAGACGTACAGGTATTTTAAAATAGCCGCTGGTTGTGATATGCTTATGGTGTTTTCTTTTATTTTTCAGGAGATGGTCGAGAGATGACAGAATCCCGTTCACGACTTGGTTTAGGATTAAACAATTATAGCCCCCAGTCAGAACAGCTTGATTTGTATTATAATACACGAGCTGGAGTTAGTTCAATGGCTGAGCCACCTAGTTGGGGTTATAAACCACCACCACCGCCATCAGTGATCACAGAACAACCTAAAGGTCATGCATTTGCGCCTTCACATGCTTATTATCAAAATGCAGATACACTCGAGAGTTTAGCAGAAAAAGTACATTCATTTTATCCTGGTGGACCATCAAGACGTATGTCGACCGGTACTGGAGTTAGTTTAGCTCAACAACATGCACGTTTTCCTCGTTCAGGTTCTGATCAACATTTGCCACGTGTTGAATATGCAGATTATTCCAATTCTCTTGGACGACATTCGCTTCTACGTTCTAGTCTGAAGCCGAGTGGCGGTGCTCCACCAATGGCCGTTGGTGGTACTTTAGGCCGTTATGGTCGTTATGAACCACCGCGTTCATCGAAATATGGTCCACCAGCACCTGGACCGCAGTCATTAACGCGACGCTCACGGCCAAATCTCGATTATTCAAGCGATACAGAAGCAACGATTGGCCCACGTCCTAGTTATTATTATTACAATAGACCTGCCATTGGTAGTATGCCTCGTGGCTCGACAGCGGTTGGTGCAACAAGTATGCTTGGCGGTGGTCCAGATATGGCGAAATTTAATTCGTTACCACGTGAACGACCAGGTGTACGATTGCAAGGTATCCGATCACGTATTGGAGATCGAATTATGGATGAAAGTGATGGAAATATATCTGCACCAGAGTTTAATGCACGTCGCGATCGAGATTTGCGCTCCAGAATTACTGCCAGTCCATCAATATTCACTTCTGATGAGTATCGTGCATGGTTAAGACGTGCCCCCAGTAGTTCGGCAATTGCTGAGCAGATGCGTATTACAAGGGATCTACTTAGTCAGCCAAGATCACATCGATTTTCTTGTAGTGCCGAAAACATACATGATGCGCTCAAAAATGTAAATAGTAATAAATCTTTTTAATTTAGCATTTTATAAAATATTATTTTTTAGACTGAAAGCATCTACTCCAGCCGCACTGGTATACTTGGCACTGGTACTCTTGATAGACATCTTGGTATACCACGTCCTATATCTGCGCTACCAGTACGTTCAATGTCATCACAACATATTGGTGGACCGTCATCTATACGTTCTCCTAGTATACGACGAATGCGTCAACTGCTTGAGCTTTCTGCTGGTCCAGCTAGTCCGAGCGGTAGCATAATCAGTACTGGTGGACATCAAAGTCCAGCACCTACACCAAGTGCCACATTACCACGAACGCACAGACAAATTGATATTAATCCAGCCGAATTTGCCAAGTATAAGCTCGACAAACCGATAGTCGATGTTGGTGGTGTATCAGGCATGTTGTGGATACACTTATTGGCAGGCCGTGGCCTACGTTCAACACCTGAATTAGGCGCACAGCATGCTAGCCAAGCCCTACCACAAACACGTGATCTGTACTGTGTTATTGAATGTGATCGCGTGCATAAAGCGCGTACGGTAGTACGTTCTGGTGACCTCCAATTCGACTGGGACGAGTCTTTCGAGCTGGACTTGGTTGGCAATAAGCAATTAGATGTACTTGTATACTCGTGGGATCCACAACATCGACACAAATTATGTTATCGTGGAGCGATTTCACTGACATCGGTGTTGCGGCAATCACCGTTGCATCAATTGGCATTGAAAGTGGAACCACGAGGCACAATTTATATACGTATGCGACATACTGATCCAATAACACTTTACAAACGACGTGGTTTACCCAGTTTACGTGCTGGTTACCCTACGCTGTTTGGTGCCGATCTTGAATCAGTTGTTAATCGTGAATCAAAAGGTGCTCCTGGTAGTGCTCCTGTGCCAATTGTATTGCGACGTTGTGTTGAAGAGGTCGAACGGCGTGGACTCGATATAATCGGGTTATATCGCTTGTGTGGTTCAGCGACTAAGAAACGTTTGCTACGTGAGGCTTTTGAGCGTAATAGCCGTGCTGTGGAATTGAGTCCCGAACATGTTCCTGATATTAATGTTATAACCGGTGTGCTAAAAGATTATCTTAGAGAGCTCCCCGAACCATTATTTACTCGATGTCTCTTCCAAATGACAGTCGATGCATTGGGTAAGTTTAATATAGTTTTTTATTTAAACCAAACAGATGTGTTTAATGTTAATGCACTCATTTTTGTATTTAACTTAATTGAATATTTTCTATTTCACTGTTTATATTAATTTATGTGTCATTTTATTTAGCTGTCTGTCTACCCGACGATCCTGAAGGTAATGCTAAACTTATGTTAAGCATACTGGACTGCCTGCCTAGGGCGAATAGAGTAAGTGGACTTGTAAATAAATATTAGTTTATAAACATATATAAACTTTATATATATTAATACTAGTTTAAGTATATAAAGTAAATTAATATCTTTTATAAAATAGTTTATTTATTTCTTTCGCAAATTAATCAAATCATTATTTATTTATTATTTTATTAGTTACACTATTTGATATAGTTTTAACAAATAATATATAAAAATCATTTAAATTAAATTCACATTTATTTTAGGCCACTTTAGTTTTCCTACTCGATCATCTGTCACTGGTCGTTTCTAATTCCGAACGAAATAAGATGTCAGCTCAAGCTTTAGCTACTGTTATGGGACCACCGTTAATGCTACATTCAGCCAGCGCACAGCCAGGAACAGATTTCGATCATGCCCAACCAATTGCAGTACTTAAGTATCTTCTACAAATTTGGCCACAGCCACAAGCACAACATCATCAAGCACAAGCTGCACTCGGAGGAGCCATGTTAGGCAGCATGGTCGGTGCTGGTATCGCTGGCAGTATGAGCAATATGGCAGGCGTTGTTTCAGGTAACGTAATTGAATTGAGCCCCCATCATTAGTACCTTCAGTTTTGTCATATCTCAGCGCTTGTAGAACACAACATTCAAAAAGCAAGAATAACAAGCGAAAGATGTTACTTTTAGAGTGTAAACCAAACACGGCACAGAAACCGTTTTACCGAAAGTGCATAAATCATAAAATATTTTTTTTAGTGTTTTGAAATCATTTTTTTCAACAATTGCAGTGGAACTAAAATTGCAATGTATTAGAAATAATTTTTCACAAAAATATTTGCAGTACACAATATATAAAAAAAATAATACCTATATGGTCGATCTTATGCATACTAAACTAAGAACATAAATTTTTTCAAAGAAGTTTTGCTTTTTAATTTTGAATAATCCTTTTGCCTGACCCAAAAAACCTTTTAAGATGTACTATTTTAAATATTAAAATTACGAACACCTTAATATTGATTAATACAGAGTCCTATGTAGACAGGTCGGCGCGGCGAGTCAACAGGGCAGCGTGGAAGCAAAGTCAGTGCGTTGCAAGCGGACAGACAACTTCTACTGCAGCAGCAGCAGCAGCTCATGGCGGCGGGCAATCTTCTACGCTCGTCCACTTCGGTAACCAACATACTCTCCCAAGGCCATCATCCGCACTCAGCCACAGTCAACAGTCATCTGTATCAATCAGTAGTGGGTCAGTTAGCTCAATCGCCTCGAGCCTTGCAACAAGCGGTGCAACAGGTAAACAAACAACAAAAACAACCACAACAACAACTAATAACAACAGCAACAACAATTACAACTACCACAAAAAAATCTAACCTATAAAAATTATAGAACGATACAAACATAATACAAAAATATAACTGAAAAAAAAATACTAATAATTTTACTAACAAATCCACAGTCAAACTATGTTTATTAACACATTCAGTATTAGTTTACGATATGGAAAATATAAAATTATTTATTTTTTTTTTTGGAGTACTCGTATTTGCGTTATAGGTCTAAAAGAGATAGAGTAAAAAACAGGAGATGGTTCTAATAATGAAAAAGAAAAAGAAAAATAGAAGGGAAGGGAAGAGAAGAGTAGTGAAGAGAAGAGAAGAGAGAAAATATTACTTAGGACCCCGAGCAGGAAGATTAGTAAATAAAACTGTTAATTTTTAGATTAGTAAGTTTTTATATTTTGTATGTGACTAATATAAAATACATATTAGATATACTAGATATACTAGTCTAGAACCATGGTGACGGTCACTGCTCTATCAGCTGAGCTACAGAGGTTGTATCAGATATTACAGTGTATCTAACTGTTTTTGTACTACACCCAACTAAGGATTTTATAAAAGTTAGAAAAGTCTTATAATCCGTATGCTAGAACAATCTTTTGCAGAGATCTATCAGTGGGTATGACAATTTTATACAATACCCTACATATAATACATTTTAGTTTTGTTTTTATTTTTGCTCAAATATTCGCTAAAAGTCTTTTGACTAATAATTATATTTTTAAACTTTTTAAACTATTGCAAAATATTATCAAAAGAATCAATTTACGTGCAGACAAAATTTCCTTGACAATCAATTTTCAATAATATGTAGGGCACGAACACGTTGAGACGTTGGAACAAAAGACTTGATTATGCTATGGTAAAGGCTTAGCAATACCAATTTCAACTTGCAAAGTCTTTTGGTGTCTTTAACCAATCTCTTGAGTGTATGAATGCTGATACTCTAAATCTTCATAACAGTGATTTCATACTTCCACTCGAATTAATTTCAATTCATAGTATAGTTCTTCAAGCAAAATACCATACAAGTTAGACGATTTTAATTGTTCATTTTTACTATATTAAAGATTATAGTATATTTTATATGTACATTAATTTAAAATCACATAATAAATTATTTAGGTGTGAATTAAGTTAACTATTTATTAGTTAGAAGGGTTAGAACAGTAATGAAGAAACAACAACAAAAATGGTAATTAATTTATTGATATTTAGCTGACCATACAAAGATATTACGAGTATTGTCAAGTACTCATCATCAGTGATCTCAGGAAATATTCGAATTTTTATTTAATTAGTTTATAGTCGGTATACACTTTGTTGGACTGAAAGTGCCAGAGTTAGAAATCATACCTGTTATATTAGAAACATGATTCTTTTAACTATATTCATCATTGATATAATTGCAACCCAAACAGAAAATCAATTTTTTGACACAAATACGAGTACTAATGAAAGAAATATTTTATCGGCAATTAAAAAAAAAATTAATTTAAACTTAACACTTAAACACAAAAATTGTTGCCTCTCTAATCTGTGTTCTTATTAATTTTTCTACTAAATTATCCTGTTGACCGTTTGTGCTACTTAAACGTTTACGTACTATATAATATTCATAATAAACTGTATTAGTTTTGATTTCTACTTTTTAACGTCAATGTGAAGCATTAAAGCATTTCAGTTAATTTAATTTATGCAGCTTTAATAGTTTTAAATAAAATTAAAAAAAATTATTTATAAAATAATTAAAATAATTTTTATGTAAAAATGTTGTAATTGTGAAACAACTAGGAATAATTTTATATATAATTTAAATATAATAAAAATGTTATATATATTATAAAAAAAAAATATATATATATATATATACTATATATTAATGATGTGGTAATGATACGTGATAAATGTTGAATATTTTTTTTGGAAGTCGGATATTAGCATGATTGGCCCACTACTGGTAAACTAACTTTTATGTATTTCCAACATGAAAGTCATATTCATTAATTCATTAAAATTAACAATTAAAAATATTTTTAAATTGTCATATTCATCATTCCCAATTTAAAACTCATTAACATTTGTAAATTTAAATTCAAACAACCTCTCATATATACAAAAATTTGAAAACGTTAAAGCACGCTGGTCCTGTAAATACATATGTACGTGTATAAAATATATATATATATATGCCTGGATATGTATCATTAGCGGAACCAAGAATGCTCTTTCCACAACATCCCTACTATTTAGATTCACATATTATTTTGCATTTTAAGATTTTGGAACGAATTAGTTAATAATTAATTAAAATTTTATTATTATTTTTATTTATTATTTGCTAAAAATTAATTTAAAAAATTTAATTTGAAAAGTTTTTTTTTCTCACTCATTTATCGTCTATGTAATATCATTTTTATTTAAGGCTCTTCTTTTTGTGAATATCGCCAACGTATGAGACGTAGTAGTTGATTGGACTAAAGTGCCCTAGTTCTATACACTATAGTATGGTTGGTGCTATGGAAGTAGGTTTTTTCATTTAATCAATCCTCCCCACATGCTGAATAAATATTATCGTTTGTGTGCCCATATTTCTTCTTGAATATATAGTAGATATTAAAGCATATTTATGCCACCATTTATTCCGCTACCATAACCTTATTTGTGGGAATTGGATCTTTGCGATTGAAATGACGTGGATGGTTTTGCTGGAAAACTATTTAAAAGACTACATGGAAAATTATTTCCTTATTTCTGAGATTTGAATTTCCGCTATGAAATTGAAGTTTACACCTTTGCAGAGAGGTACTTAAAACGCTTCCTAACTAGTAAGATTCGCACCTGCATGATAAAGTTGAGGTTTCACAGTGAGGCTTTTAAAAAGAATTTAAAAAGACTTTTAAAAAGAATGACTTCGTTTTTTTTCTTTCATGTGAATGGCTATTTAAAATGCTTTATGGAAAATGTCTTCCTTATTTTTGAGAATTGGGTCTCCACTTAAATATTAAGTTTGATAGTTTGTAATAGAGGCTTTTAAAAAGGAATCAGGACAAATAACATCCTTCTACTCTTTCCCTCATAATGTAATAATCATATGTGAATTTATTTCAAACAAATGAAAACATGTATAAATTGGTCATAGGTCATAGTCCCCATTAGAATAGTTCCTATTTCCAACCAATTAAATACTTGTGTTAAATGTTGATTTAATCTAGTAATAAACTACTCAACTGTCTCCTAATAATATATGACAATATCAATAAAAGAGTTTCTAGCTAAGAGAAGAGTATCACATTCTCTTCTTTTCATTATGGTAGAGCAAGTTAGATGATGTAATTAGATAGAAGATGTAATTAATACTTTTAAACAGCAATTCGAATACATTTAAGCACATTTTCATAGTAATAACACCCTATAAAGTCTGGTCTAAATTATCCAAAATATAAGTTTCATTTGAGAAGTTTAAATTAAATAAAAATTAGTTCGTTTAAATAAAGAATTAAAAACAGAATTTATAAATCAGTCAAATAATGTTAAGTATAATTACCCATTGCATAATTTTACCCAAAATTACTGAAAGTGAAAAAACTGAATCACATCTTTCTACCGTTATCCTTAATAAAAATTGAAACTGTATTAAAGGGTGTCTACCAAGAGGGGGATATGCATGGTTTTCCCTCTATTTTTAATCACAGATGAAAATTCGAGATTGTACAAAATCTATTATATGCTCTCATATAAAAACCTCAAAAAACAAATGCGGGCTCTACTTAATCTACAAAGCTTAGAATGATCAAAACTGAAAAAAATGAAATTGCTATTTATTTTCTAACTATTTAATCAATTCTTCATGTCCAGTGAACCCATTTTGGCTCTTCCACTTAATTGCTCTTACATTAGTTAAGACTTCGTTATAAGGTTAATTGAAATCTGACTGTGTGGTATAAAGATCTTTTCTAATGTTATATTCAATTCTTTAAGAACCAAGTTTGAGATTATGCAATATAATATATATGTATCCCACATGTTTCTTATTGAGCAGTTTTTCCAACACTTTTAAGCATCAGATCTCATTTAATTTTATTTATTTTTTAATATTCATATTATTTTGTTTAAATATCCTGGTGAACTCATTCAGTCTGTCATGGATTAATTGAGTTGTTTATATTTTTTATGAGACTTGCGAAATGAAGTTCTATGTCACTGACTTGCAGCTCGACGAAAAAAATGAACTTTATGATCTTACCATCTCAAGTCTAGACTCCAATGGTCATCGATTACTAGGCAAACAAATTTTTTATAACAGTTAGACTAGAAATCGTTAGATTACCGACTTACACCAAAAATAATGAGTTGTACTGTGAATACACAATCACTTATTGAAACGTTGATTTTACTTAGGACGTGTGCGAGTTAGGCTAAGTTGCGTTTTAAATGAGGGAAATTCTAAGATGAGCCGATAATGTAGTGATGTGTCGATACGTGTTGATAAATGGCTAAATGTGTGCAGTGCAAAAAATCACAAAAAATCTCCCATTTGGTTTAGCATCAACTTAGCCTAACTCGCACACGACCTTAATATGTTCAGGTTATTATATTATGTATAATAGATCCCGTTGTTTTTTAATTTTGTAAGATATTATAAATTACTCACAATTTTTTAAATAAAATATTCATCTTTAAATTTTTTTATTATTTTCCTTATATGTGTATACAATTTTTGCATATATTTATTTTTTATTATAATATTTTTTTATGTATCTACATTTTTGTTTTCATTTTAATTTTAAATTTTCAGTTATCAAAACATTATTGGCACCTGAAAAAAGCACAAAATTTGCATGATGGCAATACATATTAAGTTCACTTGCAACACTGTTTCCTGTTTGATGTTCAAAATTGGCGTTTTAAACTTTAAATTGAGTTAGTTATTGTTCAATAATTGGCAAATTTAATTGAGAAAATTAAACTTAATGTTTATACTATAGATGTGCTTTCTCTTATAATGCACTATTTCATAATTTTCAAAGCACATGCATTTCGCTAACTAAATGAAGCCAGAAACCATTTATTGTATATAGAAAATATCCTATAGATATCATACAAAAACCAATCACGCACCTAGCACGCTAACCTAATCGTTTTTCCATAATTTGAAAATTGGAACAAAAGAAAATATTTGTTTTTCCTACTCTTCTATCATTGCAGCCCCATCAATTGGTGGGCTCAGCGGGCTCAGTAATTCACGACCAGTCGCCACTGCCACTTCCAGGCACACCCTCCCCAGGCAGTAGTTCAGCATCAACGGGTTCAGGTTCGGGATCAGGTAAAAGTAAATAAAGCGTTTCCAATTCGTCTCAAAATGTTTTACATTAAAAATTATTATTACAAAATGTTGTATATTGGGTGTTAATCATATTTTGCTTTTAGGTACTGACACAATAAAACGGGGCGCTTCACCATCTTCAGTTAAACAAGTCAGAATACAAGAATCCGTTAGTACATATTCTATAAATCACAAGAAATCAGTTAAAGATTCACCAACCGATGAAGCAACCACAGCAGCAACTGACGCAACAACTACAACGACACGCAAAAGCGTCGATTTTTATGAATCGCACAAACCTCAGACGAAGATGGAAGATAGTAGCATTTCAAACAAATATGGTGAAACATCAAAAGCACGCAATGGTAGCACTTACAGTAGCTTGGGTGCAACAGCTGGTAAGTCGGCAATTTCAACACTTTCCACCGAAGACTATAAAGCAATGCGTAACAAATCGAGCACAACCTCATCTTCATCATCATCACAAGCAACAGTGTTGAGTGCTGGTTCAACTGCAACATCAGCAGCTACCACATCATCTGATGACTCCGATGACTTGGTGTCATATAAATCATCTGCTTCTACCAATGCGTTACTCGCCCAATCACAAGCGATGACCACATCGCAACTGATGTCAAAATATTTAAAACGAGAGCCACGTGTTCAATTTACACCAATCAAATCACCCGATTCACCTTCACCACCTGATAGTGACAACATACCTAAGGGTACTTATCACTTGACAGGCAGTAGCAGCAAGACAAGTAGTTCAACAGGTGCAATCAGTAAATACACAGCCACTCCATCAAATATTTCGGCATCCTTATCACCATCGAGTGCATTATCCTCCACTTCGGCTTATGGAACATCGGAAACAAACTTAACGAATACAAGTAGCAGCCACAAGGTATCTTCACCGTCTAGACAAATAAGCAGTAGTATTAGTAGTGGAATAGGTAAAGATTCTGTACCACCACGACCACCACCAATATCAACAACAGCATCATCAACTTCAATTGTATCGACCGGAAGACGACTTTTCGATAGTTTAGCAACAGCAACAGCAAACGAAAAGGACACAAAATCGGGCACAGCCAGCACAACGTCAACCACAAATTATACTAATGATACTAAAAATTTAGTTGGTAGTTATATTAGCAATAAGCAGCAAAGTTCAGAATACAAAAGTTTAGGTAGTACATTATTTGGTGGGGGCAACGGTAGCAGTACTAGTCCTTTTGTTACCAATGGTAGTTCGAATGGGGCTCACAATGCAATGCATCTATATGGTACATTACCGAAGAATGGTACAAGCGGTGGTAATGGTTCCTCGGGAAGTGGCCTATTTAGTTCGACTGGTTCTAGTGCATTTTACTCAGCCACATCATCGGGAGCAGCCACAGCCAGCAGTAGTGGTGTTAGTTCTATGACTGGTTCAACTAATAGTTATGATTTCTATACAAGCTCAACGTATGCTTCATCATCCGTTACTGCAAGCACGACAAGACCATTTGCAAATGGCAGTAGTAGTTATGGCAGCAATGGTGCAGGTAATTATCATACTTTAGGTACGTATAGAGTGCAATATGCAGCTACAAATCCATTTTTGGATGCATTCGATGCACCAGCAAGCGGTAATGGAAATGGTAATAATGGCAGCAATAATCACGGTTCTGGTGAGCAATCACAACAAAGCCATAGTAGTCATCGTACATCACTGTTAACTGCTTTTCATTCTAGCGACTCGAAAAACGGCAGTGATGAGTACGATGACTTAAAGTAAATTATGAATATAGCAAATTTTATTACTCCTCAGATTTATTAGAGATTTTCATGTTTTTGTTTTTATGAAATAAATTAAATGTTTAAAGAGTTTGACATTTTTGTTAATATTAGAAAAATTGGAAACAAACATTAGAAAAATAATATATAAAAATATTAATATTTATTTTTGATTTTGATAATTAATAAACTATTAGATATTCACTAACAAAGTGAGTTGCGTCTTCACATAAAATAGACGCCTACTGGTGGTTGCCACAAGACATTTAGTGGGAGGCTTATAAATAAAGTTAAAAAAGACTTATAGCCAATTAAAGCCTATAATATGATTATTGTTTGAAGTCCCAGATATGAAATCCATATAAGAAATAAATAAATTTTACTTCTATCTTCAATATATTTTAATAACAAGCTCTTTAGACATTTAGTTTTAAAATTTTTTTTCAAACAAAAATATATTGTCTTATTTCATAAAAAGATTTTAGTTACTCAATATACAGATTTTTAATCAATAACATTTTTGCTTCCAATATATGAAAATAATAAAAATAACCTAAATTTAATAAAACTATCGAAAGTTATAACAAATACTACAACTTAATGCCCAACAAATTGAAAACAATAATTTTTTATTTATATTATACAGAAATCGTAAACTTTTTTAAAAGAATTTACAAACTTACCAAACAAAAAAAAATAAAAAATAAATAATAAATAGAATATTTAAAATTATAATAAATGTAATATTAAAAACCGATTGCAGTTGAATGTTTGTGCTAAATAAACTATAAATAATTTTATTTTATAAGTGCTATATAAATTGACATAATTGGTACCATTAGCTTTTGATATATACAGAAACTGAATAAAATATATAAATATATATAGTAAGCAGAAAGAATTAAAAAGAAGCAGAAATTCAAGGCATATAGACGAACAGATGATACTATAGACGAACTTCATGATTCAGTTTAATATAGTTAATTGGGTGTTATCAACACTATTTACACCTTGCAACAGCAAATTTAAAAATCATACAAACTATTATATATATATGAAGATAAATTATACTCATTTTTTATAAAAAGAAGAAGATTTCAAAGCAAGGATATAGGTGAACAGACGATACTATAGACAAACTTCATGAAGCAGTTTAATATTGTTAATTGGTTCAATTAAATATGAAATTTATAATTATATAGCTTATTGTTATATTTAATATTATAAACAAGAAGAAAAAAATTATCTAAAGATAGTAAAAGGTTTATAAAAATATTTATAGTTTATTTTGCACAAATTTAAAAGCCTGTCGGCAATTTTTTAATAAAACTAAACGAAAAGCTTTTGCGGTTAATTCAATTAAATATTTTTTGTTCAAATTTTTTTTTTATTACAATAAATATAAATTTATAAAAATATATCGCAAAATTTAACAAGTTGAATGAATATTTGTTATAATAATAAATTAAAATGAAGTATACACCAATACCAAACTTAAACGAATTTTGAAAAAGCTTTTTTTTCTTATTACAAAATAAAAAAAATATGTTAAAAATAAAAAAATACAAAAAATTAAAGTAATAAATGGCAATCTACATTAAACAAACTACAGACTAAAATATTATAATATAATATATATATAAATCTATATACGAAATTAGTACTTAACTAAAATATTGTAAAGCAAGGAACTCGAATTTTAAACAATTTATACATTGAACAATTTTCAAAACAACATAGCAGCCTTTTACTCTCACTATTCTTGCACTTAATTTAATATTTATACCAACATTTTTATAGTTTAAACCTCAAAATATTTTTTGTATAAAATTTTCTAAGCTTTTTCTAAAATAGTTTTTACGTGTATTATAAATTCTATTATTAACATAATTATCATCCTCTATAATCAAAACAAATCATAAATACTATATTTGCATGCACAGTGTTGTATAACTGCTCGTTCGCAATAATCACAGAATAAGTGTTGGAAACTAATATATAAAATAAAATAAAATAAATAAAATAAAATATAAAAAATCAAATGAAAGTAAGGGATATATATAAGAAAAACTACAAATTTCATTTAAGCAAACATTTAGTATAAAATTTTAATTTAAAGTAAATGAAACAAATTTTCATTTTATACTTCAAAACTTGAAAACAACTACTTTATCTTATTTACTTTATTTTATTTATTTATTTTTATTTAACTATTGTAATAAAGAGCCTTGAAAAGTGATGAAACCTTACTTTAGAACTTACAACTCTAGAAAAATATATATGTTTTTTATAGATAGATATGTTTTTCTCATGGAGTGAGTTGGCTACCCAACATCAACCAAACTGCTGTAACATAGCCTGCAGTTCAGGTTTTGAAAAGTATATATCCTTATCATATGTCTATAATATGTTTATATTGTATAGACTTTGGTCTGCTTTTGGCTTCTTGACATTAATTTCTTTTCACCGGAAAAACGTCACCAAAAAACAGCTCTCTTCGTAATGTCAGCCAGGCTGATTTATAGACTGCAGTTAAGAATAAGAAAGAGAAACGATCATTATCATTTATCTCTATTATCAACAGTGTGTTTAACTTTTCACACTCCAGTTTAGAGTTAGAAAAATGTTATTAATAACCATTACTTAGCTATTTGACTGATAGTGAGCTATGGCCTACACTTTTAAGTTAGACTACTTTGCTTCAAGTCAATTATACAGGATCCTGTACTCCTGTCAGATGCCTACTTGTAGTGCATTTCTATGGTTTAAGGACGTTACAACTGTGGTGAGTTTTGAAGTAGGTAATATCGCAGTTGGTGCACCTAAACTCCTTTTCTCGCTGACTATGATCTAGACAATTCATACGGTTTGGTTTTATATCTACTTAAAGGGTACATATTTTGTGTGGAGACTATTTGACTTTCCGAAAACTTTAATAAAAAATTATTATCAAGTTCTCTCAATCTAAAGTAGAAACTGTTCCGTAACCAATATCACAACTATGTGTTTTTTTCTTTCTTTGGAAGACATAAAAAAACAAAATATAAAATATAAGTAGTTCTGAAACGTCTTTGTTAGGCGATGGACTTAAAGTTTAGTACAAGTTTATTATCGGCTGATAGAAAGCTATGTTCAGTAATAGTGTTGCTAAGAACAATATTGCTAAAATAAATGTTGGTAGTGATATGTATGTTGTGTCTACTGATAGAAAAAGTTCTAAAATAGAGCTTGGAATTATGGTCCTATTTTTAGATGTAGGCGATTTCATACTTGCCATATCTACTTGTATTAAGGCTATCTTATTTACGAAAAAGATAAAAATGTTTAATTATACTTTTCAACTAAATAAATACAACTTTTTTTATTCGTAAACATAATATACGAAAAATTTTCATTAAATTGTTTTTCTATTTTTGATAAATTTTTTTTATTATTTGTATAATATAAACAAGTACTTATCAACACTGTGCAACAGCAAACTTAAAAATCATACAAACTATTATATATATATGAAAATAAATTATACTCATTTTTTATATATATAATATATATATATACATATAAATAAGTTTACAAATTTTGCAGTTAAGATTTTATGAAAATTTATTATATATACATAGAGCGAGTATGTAGCTCGGTAATCAACAACCAACAGTATTCGATAATTGTAATAATTATACAGAAACTATTAATATAAATAAATTTAAATTAAAATATAACATATACATAAAAATAAATTTAAGACAAAACTTTGCAGCTAAAGAAAGGTTGAAAAAAGCATTTACAACGGCATTAATAGTTAAAATTTTTTTTTAAAATATTTATTATTTATTATAGCAGTATAGTATATAGCAAGAAGCAGTATATATTAGTATATAATTTATTTTGTTTTAATTTTTTTATTAAATATGTATGTATATTTTCATACGCATAAGTATGCAAAATTAAATATTTTTTTTTATTTCAAATAAATATATAAATTTATTTAATATTTTAAAATCCAAAAAAAGCTAATCGTGAAACTAAATAAACTAGTCAATAATCAAGTATTTTGGATGTTATTATTAACTTTTTACAGTGTATGTACTAAGCGACCAATAAATATTTAAATAGTTTACACAGTAATTAATTGAAATAAAAAAAAGAAGTAAGACAACAATTGCTAATTTATCATAAATAAATATATAAAAAAATACATTTTTCAAATTCGATAATTATTTTCAATTTAATATTATAAATAATTATTGAAATAAAAAACTACATATAAATATATTTATATATATACACATATATTCTAACTTTATATATAATAATATACATATACATACTCATACCATATACATGCGTAATTAAATATATATATACATATATATATATATATGTATATAAATATATGTATAGATATATATGTATATTTATATATATATATAAAATAACTAAAGCTAAATTTTATTTTTAACAACAAATTAAATGGGAATTTTTTCGATATTTTATAGTTTAAAATTTAAAATTAATAAAAAAAAAGTAATCGCTATTAACTCAATATGAATATAAAAATAAATCTACTTTTGAATACTATTCTAAATATATATAAAAAATATTTGTATATATATATATATATATATATAAATTTTAATTAATATATATATGTATATGTAATAAGGAAAAAAACACATGAATTTATAAATTAATATTAAATCGTGTTTTGACAACAAAAAAAAATAATAATATAAATATATATAATAACTTATTAAAAATATTGCGCCTTTTGTGTCAGTTTACGCGTAACTATTATTGAATAAAGTCTGATTAAAATTATAAAGAAAATCTCTCAGCATTTGAATTAAAGAATACCTATATATGTACATGTACATATATATACATAAAAATTTACGTGTAACATATAAAAAAAAATAAGTTAATATATAATATATAAGAATAGCTTAAACAATTAATGTGGCTTAAGCTTATAATTAAATTAGTTAATATATTATTAAAATACTCTGCAA